AAAACTTTAATGTAATTGAATAATTTATTAGACAGATAATAACAATAAAAAATATAAATCCTTAATAAAAATAAATAATATGAATAAAAAAATAACATAAATTCCTAGTAAACCCTGAAAATTAGAAAAATTGTAATATAAATTGATAAAAATAATTAATAAAGTGACCAAAAGGTTATTGTTTCTATATTTTCTTTTTAGTAAGATATTATAATTAATATTTTATTTATTATTGTTAGTAGAAACTGAATCGTTTGTAAATAATTTAATAGAAAAGAGATATATTATAAATAAAAGGACAAACGTACATGATTGTTTGTTAAGGAAAACGTGAATGATCCTTGTTTGAAGTTTAGATTGATTTCCATTTGAAGGAATTGGTTTGAGAGACGAGTGGAGAGTGGAGAATGGAGAATTTACGTTAGAGGAGTTGCTTGGGCATCAATTGAAAGTTATACAAACTTTTAATGTTAAAATATATTTGTCACATTGATAATATTTATAATATATGAAAAAGAAATGAGGGAAAAGGAATTAATATTTTTGAAAGAGATTACTTATTAGAAATATATTCGAAATATATACTTGTACAATCGAAAGGAAACAATGATATAAATAACTAAAAATAGAACAAAATAATTTAATGTGGTTAACACAAAATTAATGTAAAATAGCATATAGATATTAAATCCGAGATAGTGTTTATAATTTTCAAAGGTCAATCGTTTGCGCTGATTTTCAACTTTGACTTGTGTTTTTGTATATATAAACGAGATATCGATTAAAGCAAATCAGTTGAACGTTTCTGATCAAAAATGGAACACAGAAACAGATTTTTAGAGTATTTCCAGGGAAAATGCATTTTCATAACGGGATGCACGGGTTGCGTAGGAATGGCACTTCTGGAGAAACTCCTAAGATCATTTCCTCAAGTGCATAAAATTTGTTTACTAATTAGACCAAAAAAGTCGGAAACTATGTCAACAAGAATTTCAAATTATTTTGATAATCCAGTAAGTACTAAAACAGATATTATTAATAAGAATGAAATAATATTTACTGCAGATATTTTCGGTGATGAAAGAAATGCACAAGGATTATTTAGAAAAAATCATTTGGATGGATGGTGACATAGTGAAACCGAATCTCGGATTAAGCCAGGAAAATCTTGATTATATTTACAATAACGTAAATATTTTCTATCACAGTGCAGCTTCAGTTAAATTGGTGGACAACTTGAAGAATAGTATTATAAACAATATTTATGGTACTGAAATGGTTTATAGCGTTGCTGAAGCTTGCAAGAAAATTGAGGTAAAATGAAAATATTTGACTGAACAATTTTATTTTTCTTATATTTATTTTAGTGTTTTATGCATGTATCTACGATCTTTTGCAGTCATGGTTTTTCTCGGTCAGTATTGAAAGAGCAAATCCCGCAAAATCCAGTAAATCCAGATCGTTTACTCGAGATGGCTAAGAGTATGAGCATTAATGAACTTGAAGAAAATTGTAAAGAATCTAAAAATTGGTCAAACAATTACGTTTTCACCAAAAACGCTACAGAAAATCATCTTGGCAATAAGAAAGATAATATAAAAATAGGAATTGTCAGAGTCGGTTGCGGTAATTAACAAAATAATCCAAACAAAATATTCTTTAACAACTTTATCAATTTTTAGTGATGGAAAGCTATAAGGAACCGTATCCTTCCTGGTTGATAAATGAAAATGTGTTTAATGTAATTTTGAAAAATGTTCTAAACGGAATAGCTTTCAACATAAAAGGAAATGCTAGCGCCTATTGCACTCCAATAGATTTATGTATAAATGCTTTAATAGCCTCAACATACGACACTACGCATTATACGTAAGTCGATATTCTACTATCGTCTAATAAATAACATTCTTTTTTATTGTAGAGAAAATCTTAAAGTTTATAACGTAGCAACAAATCGACCTACTATCAATGAAATATACAAAATATTTGTTAAAGAAAACGTGAAGGATCCTTGGTTGATCTTTGGTAGTTTGAAGTATAGGTTTCTGTGTCACCTGAAGGATTTGGTTCTTGAGATGAGTGGAAAACGCGGGATTTTCGTTAGGGAAATGGAGAAAATGGATAAATTTGTAGAGATTGCACGAGATGGCTTATGTGACGAGTTATATTGTCATACAGAAAATTTGGATGAACTTTGGAAAAATCTCAATGAGAGTGAAAGAGAATTGCTGTTTTTTAATTTAAATGACATTGATTTTGAGAAATATGTGAAAAGTTGGTTCAAAATGGAAAAAAAATATAATCCTTTGGATCCAACTTCCACAATGTTACATTTAGCAAAACTGTAATATAATTAAATAATTTCTTGTTTCTTTATTTTTAATAAGATATTATAATTTGATAATCAATCTGGGATAAATGTAGTTTTAGTAAGTTAATCATATAATAAGGTATACTCGTAATAAACTGTATAAATTTAATAATGTGCGTGTTTTTTTATAATATATTTTAGTGCGCTGTTAACTTTAAAGAACACAAAGCTTAACTCGGTAATGATCATTAAAACGAATTAATGTAGCGGTCGGATGTGATTTTTATTCAAAATAAATGTATTTAAATTGAAGAGCAACCGGAGAGATGTAGGCTCTTCCATAATTAAGCTGTTTTAATGGTCGGAGCTTCATTACATTAAATTCTTATTAATGAACGGAGATTAAGTAGAATTCCGGTAGTTTTGACGATTAAGCGAATTATCCGACAGCCATGAATAATAACAAGATGTGAAGACGAAATGAACGAGTGGGAACGAGACAGAGTAAAATTTGAAAAAAAAGGAGTTACGTGAAATAATGGAGAGCGTACGATTATTAATAATAAAAACAACGTAGGACTGGTGGCATGATGAATAATAGGTCTGTCCTCTGGCATCTCCGTTTCTCTCTTTCTGTTCTTTCCTTCTCGTTCTTTCCATGCCGCTACTCACTGGGTGTAATTATTAATATGGTCTGGCTTAATTACCGATAGTCGGAAATTTAAATTAATTTCAGAACAAAAATACATTACGTACATATCCGAATGATGGATGTGCCGAATGGGATTTCTCGAATCAAATTTTTAATCATTTCGAATTTATGGTTTACACCAATTAAAATGAAACTAATCGTGCGGCGATTGCTGCTGGAATGCGTTTCATAATTATTTTATATTTCAGTGTGCTCTAGGATCGACACGATTCTCTTCAGTTTGAATTGAATATTACGTCAATTGAATTTTTTTCTAAAATTAAGCAGAAAAATATAGTTAATTTTGGTAATTTTGTCTCTATTGAATTCAATATATGTTTTCCAATATTATTCAAATATAGTGGAACTTCGCTTAATAAGCACCTCGTAAAACCAGCATTTTGCTTAACGAGCAAAATGTATTATAAGAAAACGAGCGACGTTTCGCATAACGAGTGACGATGAGAAGAGAAGTCCCGGATTGCGCGCCTGCTACATCATTTTTAAAGCTTGTGTAAACATATTATGTATATTTTTGAATATGTTTCAATATACGAGTAAAAATCCGGAAATTTTGGAACGGATTAAACTCGTTGATCGAGGTTCCACTATATCTGCAAAAAAATAATCAATACAAAATTTCTGACATTTGTCAATATGTTAAATTGATTGATGTAAAATTAGTTTTGTTTGTTACAAGTTTGTAGTATAAATGAATTAAAATACTGGACTGATATTTTTTCAAATTGCAATAAAAATTACCAAAATCTTTTTTGACATATGTCAAATTAGTTTTACTGTGTACATATTTGTAGTTCAAAAGAATTATAATACTGGACTAATATATTTTTCAATTTTCAAGCAGTCCTCGAAACAAAAATACCCAAAAACAAAAATCACGAAATTATTTCTGACATATGTTAAATTAGTTATATTGTGTACAAATTCGTAGTTCGTAGTTTAAATACTTGACTTTTTTTTTCATTTCCCGATGGATAGCTACCATTATGATGATTTTTATTTTGTAGGTTGGCTGTCGTCTTGTAGGTTAACTTCAGTAGTATATTGATGTTCTGCGATTCTATTTCCTTTGACTGTAAATTTGCTGCTATCCTTAACACTGTCATAGTCCATCGACTTGGCTGAAGGTCCATATGCTGAACTTCATTCATTTCACTGTCCATCTGTGATGAACGATGGCCCTATTGCTGCAAGCGTGATTTTTGTTTTTGGGTTCACATTAATGAACAGATTGTAAATATAATTATACTATATACAAAAAACATATGTTAAATTAGTTGTATTGTATACAAATTTGTAGTTCAAATGAATTAAAGTACTGGACTGATATTTTATTTCATTTTTCAAGTCATCCTCCAGACAAAAATCCTCAAAAACAAAAATCATGTCAATATTTCTGACGTATGTCAAATTAGTTTTATTGTGTGCAAATTCGTAGACCAAATCACTTTAAATATTGGACTGATATTTTTTTCCTTTTTCAAGTGGCCCTCAAAACAAAAATTACGACAATCTTTTTGACATATGTCAAATTTGTGTTATTGTGTGCAAATTCGTAGTTCAAATGAATTAAAATACTGTACTCATATATTTTTTTTATTTTTCTAGTAGCCCTCCAAATTTAAATACTGGACTGATATATTTTTCAAAAACAATAATCACAAAATTCTTTCTGACATATGTTAAGGGCGACTAATAGAGGAATGGTTAAGTCGAACTTGCGCCGGTTCGAATCCTGGTCAATCCAGGCCCTTCGTGAGCCCTATCGGTACTTGGAGCAATAGGGCTATCGTTCATCACAGTAGGACATTGAACTGAATGAGGTTCAGCGATGAACAATAACAGTGTTAAAGATAGCAGCAGATTCACAGTCAAAGGAAATAATGGAATCGCAATGCATCTATATATAAGACTATTTTATTTGAAAAATGAGATTCCTTTGTTGAAATTCGTTGGATTATTATCAACAATCATTCACTATGAACTTTGCTTATTCATCCAAACATGCAGATAAAATAAAATTTATTCTATTTAAAAAAATAAATATATATACAAAATCTTTTAAATTTTCTAAGAAAACACTGTTAATTATTGCAATAATATATTATAGATTATTTATAATTTGCAATATTCTTGATACGCCATTTGTTGTTCTATTTTAGAAACTATCCTAACAATTATAATGCAGTTATATCAAATCCATTTGTAATAATCTTTATATAGCGTATGAATATATACTTAGACGTTAAAGTGATGGTTATTTGCTGGTCAATCGTTAGGGAAGAGACGCGTGCGTGTGTGTGTGTATATTGTGTGCAGGCAACACCAGTGCCGATGGGTAATTTTCGCTGGGTTATATTTGCGGGTGGACGCAGTATTATTATGGTGTATATAATATAATGGGTGGACGGTTGTGGGAGTGAGAGGCCTAATTAGGGCTGGCAAGTAGGCAACCTAATCTGATTGTTACCGTACTATTCGAAAGGAAACAGATGGTGTCACTGTAACAATTAAGCTGAAATTAAGCCCTCTTTTATGGGAGTCAAGCATGAGTGCGCGCCAGAACCGAACCGTGAGCTCAATATTTGAACCCTCGCCCTTTCCCTTTACCCACACACACACACACACACAACACTGGTTGTTCGAGGGTCGCACAATATAACACACACATACACTCTAACATACAGACTCATTCACGTACGTTTCAATAATAATGGACATTTAAAAGTACTTCCTAAACACAATCCTAATTTGGGAAAATGGGCCTTTCGGATTAACCGAGTTCTTAATTCATTTACCGTGTACTTTAATCAATTCAAGCCCCTTGTTTCCGAAACTTCCGATATGCCATTATGCGACAAATTAAATTGAACCGCTTGAAATTTTGTCATTTATACCGAAAGGTTTGGATACCCTAAAAGTAACATGTTTTCAGGTGACAACACAATCCAATTAAAATATTTTTAGTAGTTTTCAACAGTTGTAACAGTTTAAGAAAACTGTATTTATTATAAAACAAAAATTATTTGTGAAAGTATTTTAGTATTTTCTCGATTATTTTCCAATTAAAAATGTACAAGTAAAGATAAAAATGTTTCTGGATTATAACATAATTAAAGTAAAATCATGTATATTTTCTGTATTGCACTAAATGTATAAAAAAATAGTAAAATTCTTACATTTTATCACCGAAATTATGTCTTTTCAAAATTTCAGTTTTTTGTACTTCAGTATTTTCAAGTTAAATTCTAAAAATATCTGCTACTTTACTTCGTTACGTTACCAAAACTAAGTAACAATCATACAAATTTACATTATCGATTATTATCTGAAAATCATGATTACATCACAATTTTAAAGCTTTTTCTTTAAAGCCCAAGACCAGTTTTTTTCACAGGGCCCCACAGTGTTAACCTGAAGCCCCAAAAGTTAACGGTCTGCCCTGACTCGTTTGCTTTATATACTAGGATAATTCTTCTACAAACCAAAATTACAAAACAAAATTGAAATTTCAAATGCATATTTAAAAATATCATTTATATTTTTTTATAAATAAATAGAAGACGGTTTCACCAGTATCTCAGACTACTTTAAATCGGACTAATCGAGGAACTAAAAATACACAAAAAATAAACCCCCCAAACATAGTTTGTTGAGGGCACCGAAACAGTTTTAGTCCCGGGCCCTCAATATTAACGGTTCATTGAAAAGATCAATATTATGATCATTCTTAATGACTACCAAGTAACAACTTAAATCAAAGCAGTACAAGTCAAAATTACAAACTTAAAACAGTTGAGGTTTACCTAATACCAACATTATTGTGATTTCCTTTGAATACGGAAAAATTCGGAATACATCATGAGAACTAATTTAGTAGTAACAAGTGCTGCTCACCTAAAGCACGCCGATGTGTGTGTGTATATGCTGTAATTACATTCCTCTTCGGCTTGTGTTACGAAGTGCTTAATGCGCTGAGAATATTCATCGAATCAACTGTAGAATAATAGCGGTATAATCGCCGCCTGTTCGCATTTAGTATAATTAAACGCCATTACGAAAAAAAAAAAGACTGCTGCTTATTTTTTCTTATTCTTTACGTCTTCAATCTAACTCTCGCATTCGGCGAAGAGGAATAACCGGAACACCATTACCTTTTGTATTTGTTCTAACATCATAATTATAAGAATCCGTGTAAAATTTATAATACGATCGAATTGCTTTAATTGCTCTTCAGGCCATTTATTTACACTGAAGAGTCTATTTATTCGCAAAGTAAAATTATTTGTCAGGAAGCTTTCGCTGTAATTGCAAGTAAAATAATTGAAGCAATTATTTCCACTAAAAAATATATATGTAATGTGAACGGTTCGAAGTTCTAAATAAATTAGTTTTTAGAATCCTTTTGAATATGTTTACTTCCTTTGTAATACACGTTTCTAAGAATAATGTAACGTATAATTATTGTGTATAATATAAAAGCGCATATCCATTTTCTTGTCTTTCATACAATAATTTACTTATTCTAATAACAATTCTAATAGTTATATCATTATATCTTTTATTTATTTCTCTAATATTTTCTGAACTGAATCATAATTAAATTATTATAAATAAATTGAACATTTAATTTTAAAATATTGTAAGCAAATTTTGATTAAGAAATTATCATGTCGTCTAATTATTATTGAAATTTCATTGGCATATTTTTCTTTCATTTATTTTTAAGTATCTTTTAAAAATCTCAATTATTTAAAATAATTAGAATATAGTAAAACCTTACGGTTTTTATAAAATCTTAGACTGTTGGACTAATCGAAGAATACACAAAAGGAAACCGCACAAAAAGAGATTATTTTTAAATATTTTCTAAAATGAATCACAAATGAATTTTTATAATATTTTTAAGGAAATTTTGTTGAAGTATTACATAGATATAATTCGTATTATAAGTGAAAGCCATATCTCGGTCTAATCGAGGAATTAAATCATTCCTTTATTATAATTGAAATTACAAAATGAAAAGAATAAAGGTAACATTCTTTTAAGTATCTTTTAAAAATGAATACCAATACCTCACATAGTCCTGTTTTGAGTACTTCTAACCGGACTAATCGAGTAACCAAATACATACAAATTAAATTGTATACAAAGTCTTAACTGTATAAAACAAAAAAAAAAAGATTATTTCTGTATAAGAAAATAATCTTGTGTAATAAGTTTTTAGAATTTATTTTGCTCAATTAAAATTTAGTGTGTTTTAAAGTTACAAACCGGACTATAGTGAATCCGGACTGATCGAAGCCGCACTATGCGAGGTACTATTGTAATTAATTGAATAATTAATGTACACCTTATTTTTTCTTGTATTTTGATAATTTTATGTGCGAATTTGATGAAATAATTGCATAGAAAACATCCCTCTTTTTAAAGCAGTAATTCAGTCGTCCGGAACAAACGAGGTATGAACAGTGGATGGCAATTAAGGACTGTATAATATTTCTCGAGTCCAGGATATCCGCGCCTTATCCTCATGCCCATCTCTTCAAAATATATTAATAACAGCAAAAAAAAAACAGTATATGAAAAGAATAATATTAAAAAAAATAGAGCGAAAACGGGGAAGAATATGTACAGATATCACAGTGCGCACGTATCGTATGTTTAAATATAGGGCGGCCGCTCCACTTGCTTATCCCAAAAACAGCCCCTAAATTATTGAAGCGATTATATTTCACTCACATGCATTATTCATTAACCACCACGAAACTTTCGATTTCGTGTATACGCGATTATTAGTATACAATACCATCATAAAAATCAACAAATGAATTAATGAATATTTAATTTCGTACTGTTACTTTTTCGCTTTTCATTTTCTCTTCAAACCGTATCGTAATAAAAATATTAGTTTCTACAATATTTTTAACAGATTTTATTACTAATTGACCAAAGTTCTACAGTTTTCTTAATGATGAACTTATTAACAATTTTTATTCTGTTATTAGTTAATTCCTAATATTTTTTTATTTAAATTTAAGTCAAACAATCTGTTTTAAATTAATAATATTTACAAAAATTAATTTTTCACAAGTTTTTTTCACTTTCTTCAACTTACGAACTTCCAGAATTACGAACAAAATTCTAAAAGCTCTAACTTGTTACAAGAAGGTATATAGTGTTTAAAAAAAATTAACTGTCCAATCAAAAATTGATAATTTGTTTCTTTTGTCGTTTTTTTTATTAAATAATTGTCATGTCTATATTGAAAAGTATTTGTAAGTAAGTATTTTGTTTATTTTAATCCATTTTTTTAAATTTATGTAGTCTTTAATACGGAATTTAACATATATAAAAGTAAAAACCATGATAAAGTTAGGTAAAATAAGTATATTTTTAATTTTTTTAAATTCTTCCGATTTACGAACAAATTCGACTTACGAACAACCCTTTAGAACGGAAATAGTTCGTAAGTCGGGGGATACTTGTATAGAAAGTGTAAATCTTAAAATGATTAAGTCTAAATTAACCATTAAAGAATTTAAATTAAAATAATTATTTATTTATGAAAAAAAATCATACTTAAACTAAACTTATTTTATATCATTTTATAACTATTTTTGTGTTAATAAGAAAAAAAAATATTAATTAGTTTTAATTATTCTTTTATTTAGTTCTACAATATATTTAAATAGAAAATAAAGATTCTTTTTCAAATTAAATTATACTAACTTTAATTCTCATTATAAACAAATATAGATGATAATAATCATTTAAAGTTTGATTTGACCATTAATTAAAAGTATTTATAAATTATACACTTTTTACTTACTGTTTTATAAAGGGTACAAATAAAGCAGATTATTGCAAGTCCCCTATCATCATAAGAACAGCTGCAACTTCTTTTTTAATGCAACTAATATAATCATAACCACTTCATTAAATCTAATTGAAATTCATATTAGAATCACATTTATTTTGATACAAATTTTCTTAATATACAAAATTATTTTGCTCTGATTTAATCTACATTTTTGCGTAAAATAAAAATTTAAATATGTTTTAAAATAGATTTTAATAAGATTTTCAAGCAAAAATATTTTAACAGTTGTAACAGAAAATTTTCAATTAAATGTTAAATCTAAAATTAACTTAAATTTGATCAATATTATCTTGACTTTTTCTTTTCATTTTTTTAAATCATATTTTCCTTTTCATACTTAGAAATTCATTCAATTATATTAATCAAAACGAAAACTACACAATTTAGCATTATTATATAAATCTTTCAGAAATTATTTCAATTCTTATTCATTTTTATAATTAAATTGAGAATTTTTTTAACTCAGATTTTTGTACTAGACAAAATTTGAAAGTATCTCTATATAATTGTTGCATATTTAATAAATAAATTACAATAAAAAACTTGTATTGGTTAATAAAATAATAATAAATTTATTCAATTAAAGTCTACTTAAATTTTTTTATAAGAAAAACGGTTTCGCCTGGTTAAATTATTATTAAACTAGACGAAATATTAATAGTTTTTTTTTTTGTTTAATGTATGATGTGCGTTCAATATTTTTAATAATGTATAAAATTGCTGCAAGAATTTCTACATTTTTTTATGAAATTCAATTTACCATTTAGATGCATTTTAATTTGATTTTTTTGCCGTTCGAAGCGGATCCTGCACGCTCTATTGACGCCGTGAAAACACGAAGAATGGGTTTAAGTAAATACCGCATCTTTCGTTGATGCTTCAATTTTTTATTTCATTTGTCGCATAATAAAGAACTTCTTATTTGTAGATTAACGAAGAACCGATGTTCTTAAAAAATGTTGAATAATCTTCGGTTTGGGTTGTTAAGAATGTAATGTTTGTAGCGAAGCGTGCGATTTCTTGAGGCGTTTAAAGGTTGCTTTCGAACAAAACAAAAATCTGTAATTTAGAAGAGGCAATTAATTTTTTGGAAGGCGATAATGAATCGATGGTGGCGGTGCCATCAATTATGTAACGGCGTGTGCAGCTGCTGCCGCCCGTAAATTGAGTAATTTTCCCGAAACGAACTTCGTGAAATATGTAAGTGGATTACGAAAGCGGAGCGCACTTTTACGTAACAAAAGGCGCGATACGATGATAATCATAATCCCGGATGAATTTAATGCGCGAGTTGTTGTTTGATATTTTGTTTTCATCTTCTCTTCACGTATTTTTTTTTTGTTTCGCCGGTAATTCTGGAATGGAGGAGGCGGCATCATCCTTCGAAGTTGGCTGGAAACAACCAAAACTGTTTTCTAAATACCCGATCTAATAAAATCTGGACGGTTAGGGCCGTCCCCAAAAAATGAACGCTGAAGCCGCTGAAAATTGGCCGCCTCGCATCGGGATTCGCCGCGTCATTGGTTGGGCGTTTAACTGCGGCTGTTCCTATTGGTGCGTCGGATCGTGGTGGGGATGCGAAGCGGTGGGGATGGACAACATGGCTGATTTACTGGCGGCTATTCGAAATGAATAGTTGGATTAGTATCGTTTCATACGTCTCTCTGACCGATCACAAGAACTCTGTGGGCAGCAACGAGAGCCAACAACGTCAGAAAGAGACAAATAGAGAAGAAGAAGTAGGAGAAGTTTATAGAAAGAGTACAGGATCTGCCATCGCTTTGACTTGAAGACTTGATTAAGTGCGCATACATAAAACGTTGATGATAATTTATTTATTTTTGGGAGGGTGGCAGTGATCGAAACAAAAAGGATTTCAGTTGTTTTTATTTGATTATTTGAATTCGTGCTTGTGTATTTTTTTTTTACTTTGGTGATTGTATAATATATTGTCGGCTACAAGATTCCTCCTCCGGTTGTGATCCGGACAGAAAGACCTCTTGTTCTTGTTAAATCCTTTCTTCGAAAGAGGACCTTTCCAAGGTGTTGCGACTAAGCGACACGGTGAGTCCCGCCATATCGGTGGCTGGCATGACCGTTCAGGACGAAGCTCGGGCCATGCCTCAGACAGCATCCACAAGATCCCGGTTCATGATCACGGACATACTCAGCGGACCGGCAGAACTACGCGGCGGCAACGGAGTCGGAGGTGGCGTTGGCGGTGGAGGCGGCATCATCGGCGTCGGAGGTGGCGGAAGATCTCCGAGTCCAGGACCAAGGGATCTCTCTCTGCACTCAGCACCCCTACATCCTGACAGCGACACCGACAGCTCAGGACATCCCGACACCTCGAGCGTATGTTCCAACGGTAGGTCACAACATCCATCATCAATAGAAACTTAAATTATCCAAATACTCGCAAATCAAAACCAAACGAACTATTTCAATAAAGAACATATATTATTTAAAACCTATTTATTTATCAATTTTGTTACAAAACATAAAGATAAATTACATTTTATTACCATACAAAAATCATAATTGTTACATAATAAACTTGTATTTATTAAAAACAACTTAACACAGTAATGAATTGGTTAATTACAAAAAAACAGTGATCATGAAATATTAACTACAAAAGTTACAATATAAATCCTCAACAATTGTTTGATAAATGAAAAAATACTTAATAAATTAAAAAGTACACTTTATTTCACATAACTTAATAAAAATTATTAATAACTTCTTTATAAACATACAGAGAACATTTTATTACTCCAAGAAATCAAAATAAATTTTAATTTACAAAATTTTTATTTGTGGAACATAATTTTATTAATTCTTATTGAATCATGTAAGAAATTTCATACATTGTTTTGAATATAAAATTTTATTTTTTTTAAACTAAATTTAGTAAAACAACAGTAAATTAAATGTTATTGCTTTGTAATTAAAATTATTATCAAATAAAAACTGAAATTATTTCATTAATTAAACTATACAAATTTATAATTTATAAAGAATTTAGTAATCACATTATCTACAACTAACTTTAATTAATGAAATATACAAATTTGAAACAATATCATGAAATAAAAAAATATAAAATACTAAATACTAAAACTCAAAATTTGATAACTTGATTTTATAAGTTTTTTTAACTAAATTTAATATTATTGTAACTTAATAACAATAGATTAACTTAAATGAAATAAAATATAACAAAAATATGTTTAAATTAAATACAAATCTGTAATATAACAGAAAAAGTAACAGAATTTAGTTGTATTATTTAATGTTACATGCGTTAGTTGAAGAAATAGAACAATTAAATAAAATCTACTTTCACCACTTTTTTTTGTAGCTGCAAATAACAAGTATTAACTAATAAAATTACTTACATAATGAACGAACAAACATTTCCAATTCAATAAATATTTTATATGCGATACATTCACTAACCATTAACAAATATGTGAAGAATTGTCGAAGCGTATAAAATTGGATATACATCATCTCTAGCATTTTTAATATATGGAATTTGTAAACGGTTTAATTTATTGTAATTTTATTCCTTAATCTGAGATAAAATTAGTTGATTTTTTTTTTCTTCTCTCTCTTCAAAATTAATAATAGGAAATAAATCAGGAGATAAGCAGAGTGAATTTGTAAATGATTTGTATTTATTACGAATGATTTGAAAGTTATGTGGGTTCGTTCGTGTTTTTTTTGTGTAAATTTCTTGTATAAACCTGATTCTTCTAAATTAGGAATCCGTGTCTACGCGCCTCGGAAGTCTCACTGAAAGCGTCGGAGCGAGAAAGAGAGAGAAATAGAAAATAGGCTAAGCAATAATGATTAGGAGCGACAAAACTGAAACACACACACACGGCAAATGATTGAGAACTTTCACAATTTATCAATTCATTATTGATTGATCGACTCGGAATTATTTTAATTAAAACTTAATTGTATTTTGTTACAACAACAAAAAAAATACTAATATATTAAATTTGTTTATAAATTAATAAAAAATAGTTTTTTTTGTACTATTAAAATTTTTAGTTATGTAAGGAAACGTAGGTGTTTTTTTTTAATTAGTTAAGGAAGCAAGAATCGGTAAGCTTGACATCAATCTTGGTAGGATTGTAAGAAACGAAGATGAGTTGGGTGAAGGCAGTTGTGTCGTGGGAAGCAGGAAAAACTTACTAAGAACAAAGAAGTTGATATTAATTACTCGGAACAATTACGAGTTGGTGTCTGAATGCGCGATTCTTCTCTCCGGAGAGAAAAAAAAAATATAAAAATAAATTAAATCAATTAGCAATTAGTGTCGTAATGACGTCGGAATCGACTTTTTATTATTATTTTTTTTTGTTTTCAATAATAAACGCAATTAAAAGTTATATTTTAATTGCGGTTCGCGTTTTCATAAATTGCGTTACATAAAACGGTGAGGCACGCAACAGCGAGCGCGATTATTATTTATATACACGTATATTATAAAAGCAACAATATCCATCCAGATTTCGCGGACGTTTAGCTTTTGTTGTTGTTGCTTTTTTACGTAAGAAGAAACGAACAATTGTTGGGAAGTCCACTAAATGCGACTTCCGTCTGTCGCAAGTCTGCCTCTACGTTTAAAGGCAATTGTTTATGGGCTTGACGCTCTCCTCCAGCTCAAGTTTCTTTTCTTTTTTTTTTGTTGTCTTACCCATTACGATTCTCCTTCGGCTTTAACGAGCATTTTTAATAAAGACATTCGCTTTGTGCCATGCACACCGTTATCGCAACGCGGATTCGTTCTGCTTTCCAACTATTCTCTGAAATTGTCCTGTTGTTGTTGTTTGTATTCTATACTTTTGTTGTTGTTGTTGTTTTTTATACGTGTGTGGGAAATGGTTAAGATCTGTTCTTTGAAAATAATGGAGAGACTTAATCAATCGTCAGTTTCTACAAATTAAGTTGATCGGTGAAATCGCGGTCCAATTATCCGCGGCGCGTAAACCGAACCATAAACTCCCAATTAGAGAACGCCACTTTGTTATAACTTATTTCTTTCTCTTTGTTTCCGTACGTTTAAATGACGCAACGATTTTTATGGACAATCCAATTACTAATCACATCCGCTATAAAACTATACACGAATTATGTTATATTTGTCTCATTTTTTTATATATCAATGATCAATTTAAAAATTACTTACTATAAACATCAATATTTATTTACTCATTCAAAGATTACAAAAAATATCTTTATAAATTTATCACAATTATTGTTTATTTAATTATTATTAAATCATAAATAAAATTGTGTATAAGTTGATTAAAAGTTAAATATTTTACTGCAATCTCCTTCATAATAATTAATCATAAAGTATTGTTTCAATATTCTTTAATTATTGAGAAAATTAATTAAATTTTGGACAAAAAGAGACACATTTTTAAATAGTTATCTTTTCTTTACAAAATATGTTTAGATATTTGGATTTATCGGAACATGAATGGTAATTCTCTATTTCCATTCAAAAAACGGAAGTAGTTTTCTACTTTAAGCTTTACTCTTTCAAGAGAAAATAATCCGTTTACAAATCGGAAATCTATTCATAAATATAATAAAAGTCAAGATATAATAAGTTGTAACAAATACATGAAAAGTTATAGAAAAATAAATCTTATTTCAATGATATTATTTATTGTGTTTATTAATTTAAAATATTTCTATTATTTCAAGATATTATATAATTTAATCATTAATTTAATTTTCACTTTATTACAGAGTAAAACCAATCATTATTAAATTTTTAAAGTTGTAAAGAAAAAACAATAAACAATAAGCTTCGGTTTTGAATAAAATTCTGTTTCTCTTTGCAAAACTTTTGGAGTTATATTTCAGGAACGTTTGTAAATGAATGAAACCTTTATCCAGCAGTAATGAATCAAATTTGTCAGAACTTATAGAAGAATTTAATTAAAATAATCCAAACATTCAATTCTACAACTCTTTTCAAAACTTATGAAATTACATTCCAAAAAGGTATGTAATGAGTAAAACCTTTATCCAGCAGTAATTAATCAAATTCGTCAAAAATTTTAGAAGAATTCAATTAGAATAATCCAAACATAAAGTAATTAATGCAACACTTGAGTTTTGAGAAGATTAGAGACAAATTCTACGACTCTTTTCAAAACTTATGAAATTACGTTTCAAAAAGGTTTGTAAATGAGTAATTTTTTTACAGCCGTGATGAATCAAATTTGTAAGAAGTATTTAATGTTTTGGTTATAACAAGATGGTAGACAAATAGTACAAGAAACAAATGGGAATGCATCAATTAAAGTAGTTTTTAAGAATTATTCAGTTTACTTTATTAGTAAATATGAAAAAAAAAAAATAAAGAAGAAACTGTAAGAAATCAACGTAAAAACTTATACATGAATTGAAAGTATTTAAATAATCAAATTTATGTTTGCACATAGAAAAACTAACATTTTTCACATAAATTCAAACGTAGATTTCAAACTGCAATTAATTTTTGGGTATTTTTTGCTTTTGTTTAATTATAAGAAAGATATAAATACATATTGTATATATAGGAAATTTGTTGAAATTAAGTTCAATTAACATGATTTATTAATAATTACAAAAATTTCTAAAATATTTACATTTATTACATTTCAATGTATTAATTTTCATGTAATTATAATTAGTATACTTAACATCAAACTAATGGTGTGAATATGAATGTTGTTCAATTAAATTAAGTTATGAAATGTATTCGACTTAACACTTCTTAAATTATTTATAAATACGATTAACAAATAATTTCAGAAATGCTTTAATAAATACTGGAATGTTACAACTGAATACATTCGTTGCATAACAGTAAATTGTCAGTTTTCTTTATCTATATAAACTTGATGAAAATGTAAATTGTGCTTGTAAATTGATACAGATGAAGAGATAGTTATTACTCGAAGTGATTCTAAGAGTGAGCATAGTTGCGAGTATAATTTATTTAATTTTTTGTTCGACTCTGCGCATTGGCGTGATCGCGTTACGTAATTGATTTGCCGAGTGGAAATTGATTATAAACTAGTAAAATACATAATAATATTCCGTGATTTTCTCGTTTCGAACGAAAAGGAATGCGAGCAATGCAGACGTGATTATTATTTATTTAAATGCTCTGGCTCCGCTTTGCATAAGTGAGTTTTAATTGGAACGCGATTACCGCCGGATAGATGCAATGTGATGATAGTTGTTTACGTGGCAAAAAAAAGGATTTCGTGTGTCTGTTTTCATTTTGTGTGTGTGTGCGTTAAAGAAAAATCAAATCAAAAGGCATCACTTATTCAACGATTCCAT